TACTCAAATGAACCAAGTACTGTTTTTATAGTGAATATTTTTGTTCGTGTACAGTTATTTCTAACGAGCTGACATGTAATTAATAGGGTTTTCAAAGGCTTTGCCTATTATCCTTACCAAATAAACTGAAATAAACTGAAAATAAACTGAAATACTCTAAGGACACCGCAAATGTTTGTGTTGAAAAAATTAATGCCGATTTATTACGCTTAAGCAGATGGGGTTCGACATGGCAGATGGAGTTTTCATCATCCAAGTGTAGTTTCATGTCTTTTGGTCCTACCAAACTTCCTGGTCCCATAATTTTTCAGAATAACCCACTCTCAGAATGCCTCACCATAAAGGACCTAGGTCTAAGTTATACAAATAAACTTGCTTTATCACCTCATGCAGATAGAATCTCTGCCAAAGCCGGGCAGATATGTGGATTAATATCGCATAATTTTTTCCTTCCGGAAATGAAGCTAAGACTTTATCAAATGTTTGTTCTTCCAGTCCTCCAATACTGCTGTCCTTTCTTCGGTTTAATGAACGCCTGCGACCGTAATAAAATCGAAAATGTTCAGAGGGTTTTCACTCGGAAACTGTTCTCTCAAGCTTCGTCCAGTATTTCTTATACTCAGAGATGTCAGCTGGCGAACATGAAGTTTTTGTGGGGTAGAATACTCGAAGCTGGCCTTTGCTTCCTTTTTCGCATCAACTCTAGCTGCAGTCTTCCGCACATTGACACTCTCACTCATAGAGATCGGTCTTATGCCACGCGCAACTCCTGCATGGTGATTCCACCGCCTCTTTGTACTACATCTAAGCGCTCCCTCTTCTTTGCTTCCAAATATGCCTTCCTTTGGAATAATCTTCCTCCTGAAATTAGATTATCGCCTAGGTTACTGATATTCAAGTCGAAATTACGCAACCATCTTACACCGGAAAGCATAAAGGCACTGTTAACGGTCTCATTCGCGAACACTCAGATTCTTGACTTCGAGAAGGGTCCTCCTGGGATTTAGTGGTAGATTAAGTGGTAACTCTTAATTATATCATTAGAAACCCCTGTTTTGAATTGGTTTCTAAATCCATCGCTATCCTTCCCCCCATAGCGACAATTTTCGCGGTTTTTAATGTCATCTCCCGCATTCCGACCTCATGCGGTCTGTCGGCGGTCACGGTGGAACCCTCAGTCTTCACTGTTTACTAGTAGTTCGGTCGTACCTCCCTTCCTCACTGCTCGGCTGAGCTCGAAGCGTGCTGTGGCCGATCGCATCTCGGTTCCTCTCGTCTGGCCTCTTTGACGCGGCGTACCAATCAGGCTCAGACGATCTCAATTGTGAATCCCGTATACAACGCCATTTGCAAGCCAGTTCTGTCTGACCCACATTCGTACCCATCAAGGCTGAGATTTATTGCTACCCTGACGATGATCGACAACATTCCGTTATATACAGCCACCTACAGGCCAGTCCTGCTCGCTTTTTTCTGTTATTATTTTTAAAGAGGGGTTTTTCTCCTGTAAAATTAATCCAATCATTTTTAACTTTTTCTTAGGAGTTTTTGTTTACCCCTCAATCATCATGTTTCTCAATGGACTTCTAATTTAGAAACTATGATTTGCATTTTGTTAAGATTCGGCCTACCTCGTCTAAACCTCGCATGCAAATTTATGTTAACTTGCTTTGATGGGACCCCGACGGGTCTTTAATAAAATTTATCTATCTATCTATCTATATCATTTCCCGAATTTCCCTCTCAACGCAAATACGTCTCCAACGTTTAATTTCTGAGGAGGACCTCGGTGACAGGAAGGCTACGCAGCTTCTTAGGCGTTCGGAGCAGTTGGCAGGCGGACAAAAGCTGAATGCCACCATGTTCAAGCAACTTTTCCTCCAACGGTTGCCTCCTTCTGCGCAAGCCATCCTGGCGCCCAACATTCCTTCATCGACTGTTCAGATGCTCGCGGAGACTGCTGACCGTATACTCGAGTACTACCAGCCTCCTGTTACGGTTAACGTCGCTAGTCGAAGCACAACTGCCCCCACAATCGAGGATGTCGTCAAACGCCTAGATGCCCTCACTCTCGAAGTTTCCCAGCTCCGGGCCACTCGTGTCTATAACCCTCGTAGTCCTGCAATTTCTCGCCGCTGAGATCTCTCACTCCAAACAAACCTACAGTTGATGGTTTCTGTTTGTATCAGCACAATTATGGTTCTAACGCCCATCGCTGCCACTCTCCGTGCAAATATAAAACACCCGCGTCGGAAAACTCCCCTGCCGGCCAGTAAGGGCGACGAACGTGGTCGGCACATCCTCTCCCAGTCGCTTACTCCACATCTATGACAGAACTTCCTGTCGTAATTTTCTCGCGGATACTGGTGCGGAGATCAGTCTAATCCCACCCACCTTGACTGACCGTAAGTAACATAATTCTTCATTTTTCCTCCAAGCAGCTAACAATACTTCTATTAAAACTTTTGGTCAACGATCCCTAACACTAGATTTGAGTCTAAGACGTTCATTTCGTTGGCTATTTGCTATCGCTGTTGTCCATACTGCCATTCTTGGCGCAGATTTTATATCCTTTTTCGGTCTCCTCGTTGACATTAAGTCCCATAAGTTATTTGATCCTAAAAATTTTTACATTGTAATTGTTCCACTCGTACCCTTTCATCACCTTATCCACGCATTTCCACAATCCCTTCGTCTACTCCCTCTCATCGTTTACTTTCGGAATTTCCATCTATCACACGACCTTCACAATTTAACCAACCTATCAAGCATTCTGTTGTCTATTATATTTCAACTACTGGACCACCCGTGTTTAGCCATCCCCGTAGTTTAGCCGCTGATAAATTAGCCATAACCAAGGCTGAATTCAGTCACATGATGGAGCTAGGTATAGTTAGGCCTTCCACTAGTCCATGGGCTGCACCTCTACATATGGGTTGCAAATTGTCTCTCGTTGACTGGCGCCCATGCGGGGATTACCGACGGTTTAACACCTCCACAGTGCCCGACAGGTACCCACTTCCCCATCACCACGACTTTTTATCTAGCCTAGCTGGAGCGACAACATTTGCCAACATTAACTTGGTCAAAGCCTTCCATCAGATACCCGTTGCTCCGGAAGACATTGTCAAAACGGCGATTACAACACCGTTCGGTCTGTTCGAGTTTGTCAGGATGCCTTTTGGGCTTCGCAACTCCGCCCAAACTTTTCAACGTTTCATCAACGAAGCCCTCCGCGATCTACCTTTCGTTTTTGTCTACGTCGACGATGGCCTGGTAGCAAGTTCTAGTGAACACGAGCACCTACAACATTTGCGTCTCATTTTTAAACGATTGAGCCAATCTGGCGATTTAATTAATGTTTCTAAATGCGTTTTTGGCGCACAGTCGCTGTTTTTCCTAGGACATCGCGTAGATGCTTCTGGTTGTCATCCCATAGATGCCAAAGTTTCAGCTATTCGCGATTTCCCTACTCCCACTTCTTTTCAACAACTGCGCCGTTTTATAGGCCTTGTCAATTTCTATCGACGTTTCATCCTTCCTGTGCTCAATTAATGCTACCACTTACTAATCTTTTACGTTGGAACAACCGTGAGTTTTCTTTTCTTGACACAGCTGTAGAGGCTTTCCATCGTGCGAGGAAGGCTCTTACGGATACAACTGTCCTTGTTCACCCTATACCTGATGCCCCACTTTTCATCGTGGCCGACGCCTCTAATTTCGCTATAGGTGCTGCCCTTCAGCAACAGACGCCCACTGGCACCCAACACTTGGCTTTCTACTCCGCCAAATGGACACCCCCAAAAACTCGCTACAGCACTTTTGGTAGAGAACTACTTGCAATTTATTTAGCCATTAACCATTTTCGTAATTATTTTGAGGGCCGAGATTTTTGTATTTATACTGACCACAAGCCTCTTACTTATGCCCTTTCTACTTCTTCTGAAAAGTATTCACCCCGCGAGGCCCGCCATCTCGATTTTATTTCTCAGTATACCACCGAAATTCGATTTCTTTAAGGTCTTTATAATCAAGTTGCTGACTGTCTTTATCGGCCTGGCAGTAATGCCATCACCCGCCCTTCCATCGATTTGGAGCGCATGGCAGAACTGCAATATCAGCCGACTTTCAGTGAGAGCCTTCAACACACTAGTCTTCAACTCGAAGCCATTCCTCTTTCCACCACCCCCGGTACAATCTTGTGTGACGTATCGCGCGGTGCCTACCGCCCCGTAGTGCCAAACGAGATGAGACGAGATGTTTTTGCCGCGTTGCACAATCTAGCTCACCCTGGCATCCGCACTACACAGCGCCTAGTCAGCGAGCGGTTCGTTTGGCCAAGCATGAACACTGATATCCGCCAGTGGACCCGTTCATGTTTGGCCTGTCAGAAGGCCAAAGTCGGACGGCACAACAAAGCCCCCATTGGCACTTTTCTCGCACCCGACGCACGTTTTTCGCATGTCCATATCGATCTGGTAGGTCCCTTTCCAACATCTCGTGGTTGCAACTACTTACTTACTGCGATTGACCGATTTACCCGTTGGCCCATTGCAACTCCCATACCTAACATAACTGCCGATACCGTTGCTCATGATTTTTTGGAACACTGGATCTCTCATTATGGCGTCCCCTCAACTATTACCGCCGATCGAGGCAAACAATTCGAGTCTAGACTTTTTGACAGCCTTATCGATCTTTTCGGATGTTCTCGCATATGCACGACAGCATACAACTCCTCATCCAACGGCTTAGTCGAGCGTTTCCACCGGCAACTCAAAGCCTCGCTCCGAGCTCATGAAAACCCTTCCCATTGGAGCGAGCCTCTGCCTTTTGTCATGCTCGGTATCCGTACCGCACTTAAGTCCGACTTGGAGTGTTCCGCTGCCGAACTTGTCTACGGTACCACCCTACGGATTCCCGGGGATTTTTATGGGCACTCTCAAAGCTCGGGCAACTTGGATCCCAGCGATTATGTGCAAAGATTGCGTCAAGCCATGACTCATCTTCGAGCCACTCCTCCACGTCCTTCAACAAGTAAGTCGTACGTCGACACGAACTTACTAACATGCTCTGTCGTATTTGTCCGCGTAGATAGCGTTCGCCGGCCACTACAACAGCCATAGGACGGCCCATTTCGAGTGCTATCGCGCAAGTACAAGCAATTTACAATTGACCGCGGAGGCCGCACCGACGTGGTCTCAATCGATCGCTTGAAGGCGGCTTATACCGAGCCTTTTCCAACTTCTCCAACCGAAAAACCTCCACTTGGCACATTGCGAATTGCTATTTCCCAGACTCCATTTACGCCCAATAACCCCGCGTTTTCCCTTATCCAACAGACTCCTTCCCTTACGCGCAGCGGTCGTCATGTCCGTTTTCCCGACCGTTACCAACATGTACAATATGCATAACACTCCCACATTTTCCTTCTATTAACAATAATTTTTTTAAAACTCCGTCTCCTAGAAGGGGAGTATTGTAGTGACATTTAATTCCGTTTTGTTTTAATCAATTACAATACGCTTTGACACAACTTTGAAGGAGATAAAGAACACGCACGTGCACGTTTACCTGTTGACGACTTTGCTCTTAGTTACTAGTTTGTAACTGTTGGGATACTGCTATTTTCCTTGCCTGGATAGCCTACTCGCTGTGCCCAACGAGTGGGTTTGTCTCTTACAATGTCATCGGTAAACATTGCGACATCGCAATCCAGTTCGTTTCCGCAGACATTGGCATATACGAGGAACATTGTAAGGCCAAGAACAGAGCCTTGGGTAACACCACTGCGAACGGGAACCTCGGCAGATTGCTGGTTACTGACGTGGACGGCTTGAAAGCGGCCGAGTAAAAAGCTTCGAATCCACATCAGAAACTTACCTCGCACTCCTGCATGGCTGAGTTTGTATAGAAGGCGGTGGTGAGGAACACTATCGAAGGCCCTGTTAGAGTCGATATAGATGGCATGCACCATATCTCCTCTCTCAACAGCCCTAGTCCTGTGTTCCAGACAGTAGAGCAAGTTTGCACACAGGATCGGCTTTTGTGGAATCCATGCTGGGAATCGGAAAGCGAATGTTTGAGTTGTTCACCATGATCTAACAGCAAATGGAGGTGAGGCTGACAGGTATGGAATTGTTCGCTGAGGCCCGACTTCCGCCCTTGTACAGCAGCGTAATCCCCGCTGACTTCCAGTCGGGTGGCAGCTATCCGGCCTCGAAGGATGTATGGGAAGGCATGGAGAGTGGCGTAGTCACCTAGTCGGCGACCTCCTTCAAAATCTTCGCCGGAATGTCATGGGGACCTGATGATTTGGATTCCTTTAGCCCCAGCAACTCTGTCAGAAGCATACCCTCAGTGAACTGAACGGTCTCCATAATTGTGGTGTTTCCGAAGAATTGAGGGGCCGAAGGATTGAATCCTGTTTCGCTTTTAAAAACAGACCGCAAAAATTCTGGAAGGGATCAGCTTTCGCTCTGTTTTCAGTGGGATGTTGACCTTCAGAAGTGGTTAGCAGTGGTATTGGGTCCTTGTACCGCGTGCACTGCCTTATGTAACCGTAGAATAATTTAGGGTTCTTCGCTGCACGGTTAAGTAGATCCGTTTGGATGCCCTTCTAGTTTTGAGGATACGGCCCTTGACTCGATTTCCTTGAATTTTGTACGCGCATATAGTGGTAGGGCTCCTGTCAGAAAGCGACTTTTTCCACAGCCTTCGTTTTTTATTCACTTCATTCTTCAAGGCTTGCGTAAGCCATCGAGGACTGTTAGTTGACGTTTTCAGTGAAAGCGGACAGTGGGTTGCGATCAACTCCTGCAGAATTTCTCGGAACCGTTGCCAATCTTCGGGTATGCTTCCAACAAATACGGACTCCTAATCAATGCGTGAAATTTCAGGCATCATTTGGTCGAAACCCAAGCGCTAAAGGTTTTTTCTAACTGTCACGGGTTTTTCGGGCATGGAAAAACCGAGTCATCCCATATAAGAACGACGTGGTCACATTTACCTAAGGGGGTAGGCATGACATCTCATCAATGCTGTCCTATGATTTCGTAAGAACAAGACCAAGGCAGTTGGCCTGTTTGCCCTTCGCGTACTCTAGTTGGTAACAAGACACGTTGAGTGAGAAATAACTTCAGTGGCGTGTTCACAAAAACTTCTATCGAAGGTCTGTTCTGAGCTTTTTGCATGGGTCGAGCTCCAGTCAATATGGGGCACGCTAAAGTCGTCCATATCCGGCCGCGTAGCGAACCTTTCGAGCTACTCTAGCAGGCGAGCGTCGGTCATGTTGTCCCGTCTCGGTGGTCGATAAACTGTCAGGACCTTGAGGCTAGACGAGCCCGGCATTTTAATAGACAGCCGGATTGCCTCCGAAGTACTTATCGGTCTTGTCTGATACATTTAGCCCATTTTCACATACGTGATCACACTTCCTCCCTGACGCCCTTCCACATCCCTTCTAAACATCTGGTAACGAGGCAAGGCCAACTCACGGTCGTCCACGTGTTGGTTCAACCAGGTTTCTGTTAAAAGTATTTTGTCAAGGGATAGATCGCAGAGGTGAATCTTCATCTCGCCGAACTTTTACAGCAAACTCTGGACGTTGGTGTACAATAATTTGAATTTTGGGCTGATGGAAGATGTGGTTACATTTTGGTTAGCGCTTCACTTAATATGCTGGCTGCGCGGTCACTATGCACTATGATTATTTAATATCCCTCAGACTGTCTCACATAGGAATTCGCAAAGAATTCGTTAAAACGAATATGTTTGATTCGACTTCACTATATCTTTTTCCCCAAATATCTGGGCCACTCATCTTGCTCGGGTATTGGGCGAGAATGATGTATACATTGGTGTGGCCAAGCTGTCTCGGGAACCTTCCAAACAACAAGGGTTTGCATATCATTCTATACTAACCATATTTTACGCGGAGAAGGCAAGGATGGGCTGCCACCTCAGACCGCCTCAATTTGCATCTACTCATTCGCTTGCTTCTGTAGAGCAGGTTATATTAGTCGGACAAGTCGGCGGCTTTCCAAAAGAATAGGAGATCTCCTTCCCGCATGACTCGCAAAGGGTGAAACTAGTCGAATAGACAGCGCCATCCTTGCGTTTTGCAGTGGACGCAGGGCATCTTGTGGACCCCACTGAAGCAGCTCGTGTGCTTTACAAGGTCCCCTCAAGCTACTCAAGGTTACTGGGCCAGCACCTGTTAGCAGCAGCAGAAGCGGCCGCCATACGGTTATACAAACCGACCCTATGTGCCCAAAATATATTTGTTCAGGCTCCGCGCTTATCGTGGTCAAAGGCTGCCTAACCACATACAACGTTCTGTACCATGCTGCTCTTGCCTAGTCTGTAATTTTAAACCTAACTTTTATCAATTTTTGTTTCACTCGCTGTTCCCGGCCTATGCAACTGCATTGGCCTGATGAGAATTTAACGAAAGGAACGTTCGCTCGGAACTGTCTCTTCTAAACATAATTATGGGGATTTTCACAACTTTATAGTCTGAACTGTCGATTTGTACGCTACATTAACCTCGGATAACACAGGCACTTTAGCACTTTAGTGGGTGGGATTGCCAAGTATTCCGAGCATTTAAGTGGGCAAAGAGAAACTTACCAAATAGTTCATTGCAATGCTTACATCAGGTCAGTGTTGCAAAAGTTCTACTCTTCACCTGTCGGTGATAATCAGCAAAAAATCATAAAATATACAACTACATGAAAATGCCACTTTTATGGAGTTAAATATGACCATCCTTTTCCCTATACTCGACTCGCAACCTCAACTGTATCCAGGTAACGCGACAACTTTGAAATATTACAACATCCCAATTAATATCTATTATTTTTGCCTGTCGGAATGGTGTCAGAAAATCAAGCTCCCAGAAGTGCCATCTTATATCTTCGTGAATATTTCTTAACTATACATTTCCTGCTCAAATCTCCCATGTATGAAACAGAACGTTGTCACTGCAGCCAAACGGCAATGTGATTACATATCTTCGCATGACAAAAAGAAAAAATCATCACTAGGTTTTCGTTGAAATTTATCAGGTTTTTCCTGCGGCTTTACACTGCAAGCTACTATAGCAAAAATGCAAGTTGAGCACACTTTTCTATGCATCGATTTCGGTGCAAATGTTAAAAAAATCTGCTGAGCGACCGCAATTTGTAGAAATTAATATGACTGACGCACTGTCGACGGCTCTGTTTTTGAGGTTTATAGTCAAACGCCGACGCCTATGCGAAGAAGTTAAGCACCGTCTATTAGGTCATGAATTTCAGAGGACGAGCGGTTGTCTTTCGGTTTTGCTCTTGTCTTATGCAGCTTTAAATCATATTGGAAATTAATTGCATTAGGAAGAGAAATATCATAAGCCGAAGCCCGACAAATTGAGACATTTGGACACTGTTGGGAATCCCAAGTCAATGTTTAGGTAAATTTAATTAGCTGTATCTTGCACAGATGGCCTTCTATCTGGTACACACTTGACGTTGTGTGCGATATGTCAACTACGGTACTGATTACCTTACGTTTCGGAGACCATAATCCGGTCGCAATTGTTGCCACGTTTAACGCGTTATATCGACTAGGGCTCTGAGTGACTGGTTAAACCTACAGGCTTCATTTTTTCATGTTTCGTTTTCTGGACCACTAATCGCATAATTTGGGCCTTGTAAGCAACTTCTATTACTGGCCGGAGCCTCAATGTATGATCACTGAACCTCTGTCTGACCTTCGTGTGAGCACGTCGTCAGGACATGTCTGTCAGGTTTTTCTTAAATTGGATATTCAGATCTCGCCTTGCTCTTTTTGTATGCAATGGCAACGGACTTTACAAACCTGATTAAAGTTTATTGACTCACTCATGGAGTTCGCACTTAAATATCTTGGCTTATTTTTTCGTTAAGACAATGGGGTTTCATGGTTTCTAGTGTTCGTCGTTCCAATTTGGAATTGTTATCGGCTTCCTCAAAGACTAGTGTTAGGTTATTTTCCAGTATAAGCGCCTCAATTAACCATATTTTGGAATTTATACTTTTAAAAGCATGCATTGCGTGTATACGGTTAGCAATAACAATCTCTGATTTTCATAAAGTACAGAGTGTACTGTTTTCGTAAATAAACATTATGCCCATAAAGTATGCATAAATGAGGTGCTTACATAAGAAGCAGTAGTCAAATACACTTATGAAGACGTGTAATGTAGTGCCACAGAGCACTGGATAGCAAATTTTCGATCGAACTTAGTTTGACACGGCCCACAATTTCATTGCGCAATCGTGAATCCAGTAGTTCGGACGGTATCAGCAGTCCACATTAATCGATAAATGCAAAAACACAGTGGGTTCTAGGACCTGTTTGACAAGCGGAAGACGAATTTTCTTTTGAACGCAAAACGTGTGGTATTGGATATGAGTTATTCATAGATGAAAGGGTGCACTCAATGTCATGGCTTAAAATGCTGAATTGCCGAAATGACTAAGTCATATCCGGAGGACGGAGAGTTGGGCTGCTGTGGCTCCTTTTTAAAGTGGTCAATACAGAACTCTCACCCTGCTAGAATTTGAGCCGCCACTCTGACAAAGAAGTATTGAAGAGGACGAGAATCCTCAGCATCTACGCCATACTGAGATTGCTTCAACCCTGTAGGTCATCGTCTTAACAAATGCAGCATCCGGAACATACCAGCTGCTGTCCTCTTACCCATCTATGCTTCATCATTCAAGCCAACAAATAACACTGACCGAAAACCCGAACTTCATTATCATATTTCTCCTCCACTCCCTCAGCATTCGCTACGTCAACTCCAGTATGCACGAACACTACGTACTATCCTGATACACAAACAAACGCCAATCCTTCACCAACAACGGAATTATCTGGCGCTGTGGCCTGGAAGGGTGCTGATTGGCCTCCTAAACCTGTCCAGGCATTCTGCCCATCTGTGTATTGAAGAAGGAGACAAAATCGCCGCTTCTATTTCCATTTGTGTATGTTCAGCAATGTTCTAGAGCAACCACCACCAAGCACATAATCACCGCCACACAACGCCAACGCCTAATTGTCTACAACGTTTTTCCGATGTCAATTGACATTCCGGGTACCCAATGGACTTCTTAGACAGGACTGGAGCAACTCCAACACTCCGACCGCACCAATTGTCCTCTCTTCGTCCACCTCTCCCTCGCCTCCCACACCGTCAAAGAACGTTGGCCACTCTTCGTAACCACATATACTCCTCCTCCTCCTTCTCCTCCACGACCCCCAAGGCTGCCGCTGTGGTTTCTGCCATGCCAATTAACACTACACACAATCCTGACACGCCAACAAGCATCAATGCCGTCACCGTCATCACTAATGACGAGCGCCGGTCTATACCTGTCCTTAATGCGATCGCACCTTCACTTCACACATCGGCCTGGTCGGTCACTAACGAATCTGTCATACAGAAAGTGGTGAACCAGCACCCGAAGCACAGACTTTCACACGCCGCACCGACCTCCACTGTCCACAATGCCCTCTCGTGTTCATGCCCTGCATGAACCTATTCGACCACATGCGTAATACCTCCGATAGCATACCCACCACGCCTAGCCTCGCCAACACCCCGTCGCACAACGTGCCCGCCACCGCCAACTTCAACGTCACCATCACCGATGCTGATACTGATACCACAAACTTCTCGTGTCCGCGCTGTCCGCGTACATTAAACTCACGCATAGACCTGATCGGTCATTGAGAATCCATAACCCAAGCACCGAAGAACCAGAACCTAGGGTACCAGCCTATCCTCGCTGCATCCGCCTCAACTGTCCACACAGGACTCTAACATTTAATTACCGCATGCTCGTCGACAGAACCTGTGATAGACACCCGACGGCTACACCACATCATCGCATGCCCTCTCACACCATCTTGCCGCACATAAACAACATCCACCTAAAGAACGTAACCGACACTTTCCATACAAGTAAAAATTTTTGTCTCGGCTCCTTCTCCATGCAGCAAACTTCCTGCATGTGCAATCAGAGTCTGAGACGGAGAAGTTGCGTCGAACGCCTTGGCTCAATGGCAGCCAACTGATGCTCAAAATCAGCTCCCGCCGTCTGCTCAGTTGTGTGTCTGTGTGTGCTGTATGTAGATCTGAATATTGCCGTGTTGTATTTACCTGCCCACCATCTGCATTCTTGCTTTGAGCTAGCACAACCGCATGCCCACCTTCCAGTCGCCGCCGCCGCCGCCGCCGCCGCCGCCGCCGCCGACAAGAACGCGTCCGTAAAGAAATGTCGGTGTTAACTGATAGACACTAACTACTCAACCGCCCTGGCTGTCCTTGGTCGCAAATGCCGCCAACATCAGGGCTGCTTTGAAGACAATGGCGTCAACATAAGCACCTTGATCGCCGAAAAGAACCATCTATAACAAACTCATGTCACAACCTATTTGCCTGTTGGAAAGGGGAAACAGGTTGAGAGTTGACAGTCTGGTTTCATAGGGCAGTGCTCCCAGACCTTGTGTCATTTTTGTCGCCCGTCTCTGGACCTTCTCCAAGACGGTATAATCCATGGCAGTGTAAGATATCCACTTCTGTATGGGTACTCATGATGTGGTCGCACGAAGATGTCAAATATGTCGGAAAAGCAGTCAGGGTAAATTCCCTTAAATGCTCGCCCAATGAGCTCTAATGTGGCCGTGGCCGATTTAGCTGCCTTCGCGCAGTGCAGCGTTGGTTTGAGTGAAGATGTAATCCATACACTCAGGTCCTTCTGACTGTCAACCCAGTGCAGTGGTGTGCCGTGTAGAAAGTAAGTCCTGGGGCTGGGGGCTCTGAAGCTGGCGAGTTGAAGAAAGTTGCACTTGATCATATTGAAGTGCATAAGCCAGGGCTTCGACCAGTCTTGCAGCCTGTTCAAGTTTGCTCGCAGTTGGACTGCGTCCGCCGCATAGTGAATAACTTTAATCAAGTTTTTGTCGTCGACAAACAGCATGGCATCACAGTCTATGCCATTGAGGCAGTCATTTATGAAAACGAGGAATAACGTGGGACCTAAGACTGAGCCCTGTGAGACGACACTCACCATGCTTACATCTGACGACTGTTGACGCCCGAACTGCACTCTTTGGGACCGTCCAGCCAAAAAGCTCTGGATCCATACAAGAAGGCTTTCACGAATTTCAGCGTTGCGCAGTTTGAACAAGAGGCGTTTATGAGGAACTCTGTCGAAAGCCTTTTTGAAGTCGATGTAGATGACGTGCACCACACTTCCTTCATTGCGTGCTTTGGTCTAACGTTCGAGCGTATGAAGCAGATTCGTGAAGCAGGATTTACCACTTCGAAAGCCGTGTTGGGCATCGGAGAGGAAGTCAATTTAGGCATGTACAAGCATGGCTAAGTTTAGGATTTTAGCTAAAGCTGTGGATAAATATTGTGATAGATGCTACGATTAGAGTTCGCGTTTAGGCTACTGTTCGAGATATGATTGTGGTTAAGGAAGAAACGGAAGTTTTGTTTGTTTCAGTTCGGAAGTTCGTTCTCGGCAACAACAAATTCTATTTGTAATGCTAAACTGGCGTTAGATTTCGCGATTTGGTCTGAGGTTTGACGAGGCTAGGTTGACAATTGAGGTCACGGTTCAGAATCCTTTTTGGAGTAAGAGCGCGACAGATAATAAGCCACTTATCGACAGTTTGCATGTCTACTCCGACAGTGTCAACAGTGAGCGCTACGGAAACATAGATGCACGAACAATTACCTGCAAAACCTTTATCACACTTTCTCCTCCCAAACCTGGACCCACTTTATTGACAGCGTCAACAAGACAGAAGGCGGAAAAGGAGGCAGGAGGCTGGCACGAAGGACAACTGCTGCTTAGGGAATTTAACCATACGATCTGCGATTCCACTAAGAGTGGACTTTATTAAAGGCATAAAATAGTAGACAATGAAGTGTGACTCTGAGTCCACCAGCCGGTCGCTCTGCCGGAACGCACACTGGGTGACTGTAAGGTCCAAGTTACCTCAGCATTTACAAACCAGCTAAGCCACAGCTATCAACCCAGTGACATAGTCTTAAGTACGTCAGGTCCCTTTTTCCTGCTGTAAAGCACACGCAAAAGAATGTGCCATCGCTTTAAAGTGCAGTCAGTCTTACTTTATTTGCTCGCCTATGGCTTCGATCTACGATTGTGAATGCACGGCTGATTGACCATTTTCACATTGACTTTTCGCTGAAACTGTTTATATTTTATCCCCTCCACTTCTGATCTACCTATCCACAGAAGCTAGACCATGCGAAACAGAAGACTTCATATGTTCAAACTAAGAATAACCCTTCGGTTGTAGAAATATCCATGACTACAAATGCACTTTTTAAATGACAAGACAATTTGTGTAATATGTGTATGCCTTGTTGCTGCTTTTGGACCACAGATCGCCTGGATTTCATACTTCAGTCTTTAACATTTTTAAACTCTTGGTGTTATAACAATAATGTATGCCTTATCAAGCTGACTCTCGCAGACAATATTGTGTGAAAAGACCCTTTTATTTAAGACAGCCACTGCCTGGTAAACCTCCCGAGAGTAAATAAAGTCTTCTCCAAGAAAAGCACTCTTAGATGCGTCAGCATATTTTAGAACATAAACTAAAATAAGAAATTACCTAGATGTATGGAGACGCCTATTTTACCCGGAATTACCAGTTTTAAATGAGGAAATCAGGTGGACACATTTTTATTAGAAAAAGCATTTTCTCGAAGCATATTAAGAAGTCCATAAATTCGCAACGATCAAGTATCCTAAAATGCATACAGCACTTTCTGTTGTCGGTCATTTTTGATGGGTCGCATATTCAAAATACATGGGCATGTCCAAAAACATGGCGTTAACCAAATAAATTTTCAACCACCATCTCACAGAAAATGTCTTCCTAATGTGGAATGCATATTCCTCTTTTCTGTCATTGGGTCAGTTGACCTGGCGATGAAAAGTTACTGATAGGCAAAATGTATGCCCTCCCGTTAAGCAAACTGCAAAATAACCTTGTTAAAAGAAAAGTCAACTTTTACCTTGAGTATGCGACGGATCACGCATGTCAGTCAGTCAGGATGCTAAATCACCCAGATCAGTTTTGTATCATATGGAGTCGGTTTGCTCATTAAGTCAGACACTCAATGTACACGGGGTAAACTATGCAGTTGAGATGTTGTCCTGACTTTCGGTCTCTGCAGTCTGGTCTATGCGTGTATTCTAAAAACTGTTTTTTGACACTGAGTTCGATAAGTTAGGGTCATCTGGTTACTCACAAGACGATGTAAACACATCTATTCAATGCTAATTCAGCTATGGGGTGTTCTACCTCTGGATCTACCTTAAGTCATGTCAAACCATATATGCAACCTTCTCGATCATTTCCATAGGGAAACCATAACGAAGGCGCTAGAGTAGCAGGCATGTTATCATTTCCCCGACAACGTTTACAGGTTTCCTGAACGCTTATGTTTCTTTCTATTCGAAGGAAGACCTTTACAATTCTGGGAATGCGTTCATACGCCTAAACGTGGGGTTTGGTCCTGCCAGCTACCTAAACCCATTTTCGATTTTGGTCTTCATAAATCGATCATGACACCGAGCCCAGGCGAGGCAGGAGAGGAGGGCAATATTAGTGCATCGAAAGTCTGCTAACATCATATATAATTTCACCCGCATGTCACCGTCCATACTCCTATTCTGTTTTTGGGTACATGATGCACATCGTTGACCGTTATAGCGGTTATTTGAGTATCCGCCTCGTCAGTGTTGATTGTATGTGGGTTAGGCGTTCGGCTGGAAAACGCGTCAGCGTGGACGTACTTGTGGCCTGGTCGGTACAGGTTGGTGAAGTGGAGGCCTTGTAGCACTTATAGCCGTCCTTTTAGTTAGCCTTCACCTTCCTTCATATTCTGTTTAAATTGTATCATCGCTGCGAATAATGAGGTGACTGATAGCAAGGAACTATTCGACGGGCTGACAGCTTCCTACGATAAGTACAATAATCGTATTCACTTTTAGATACTAATTTGGCTACAGAACAAATTAGGCGCTCGTCGCCTCCCTCTTTACCTTTGGAGAGAACGCCCGCAGTCGCAAACACATTTGCATTATTATCTAGAAAGAAGGGTAGACCGTTCGCTCTTCAGTGCGACAGAATAAACACCACTACCGTGATAGGTTTGGATTTTAACACACCGAAAGTGAGCTAACATTCGTCCGAAAATGTGACGGGTGTCTTTTTTCCGACAGTCGTTGTAGGAGACCTAGCATCTCCGGAAAATCGAGGATGAAACGATGGTCATAGGAAGTCACCCCGAGGAAGTATCTGGCTTTCATCCAGGTCATGCACGCGGACCATGTTTTGACAGCGTCTACTTTCTCCAATTTTGCACGCATAGGTGGAAATCGCATAAAGCAGACATAACGCCAAGAAAACCGGACCGAACACGGCGATATCGTCGAAATATTACTTTATCACGCGAATGAAGCCACCCTTTGTTCTCCAGTCTTCCCCTATCTCGCCCCCACGCGGCGCACTGCACTGACAGCACACCTGTACTCTAAAACCATCCTTCCCCACTCTATGGTCTCAACATTCTCTTCAGCGTCTCCTATAATGCAATTCGACCACTATTTACGGTTGCAAAAAGGGTAAATCATATTTGTCTACGCGCATTGTGATTGAGAACTCAATGTGGAGAAAGTAAAT